ATTACAGACAATGTGGTAAATAAAAAAGTATATTGCATATATAGAAATTCTTAGGCATGAAAGTGCAGAGTTAAAGTTATGTTTTGGAATGTTGCTAATTGTCTTGCATAAAGATTACATCACATACACAGTTTAACGAACAATGTAATACAATGATCATTTTCTTGAATGCTCAATTAACACAGACTGTTATCAAATTTTATAATAGGTGAAAGAGTATTGCAATGTATTTTTAAGTTTCATTCCTCTTACTATGGTTAAAGTCGAGTAGATTTTTACTTATCAGAGCCAATTATAGGTGCTTCTCCTACGTATTAATAGCATATTGTTAGGAGACAGAGGAAGATAGTAAAGTTTCCTCCACCCTGAGAAGACCCTTTAAAACTGAAAAACAAAGCAAGCTTCTCCATACCATTTACATAGAGTGTTATTCAGGGTTACTTACTGACAGGGGCCATCAGGCTGGTGGATGGACGGATGGATCAACGGACTGACGAGTCAGAGCACCATACAACTATTCTCTGCAGCTACCCTCTGCCCATTCCCCACCCCCTCCAGCGTTTATGGAGCGAGGGGCATGGCGATGAGGTCACAAAGTAATTATCTAAAACGGCTCTATCTGTGCACCAGAAGATCTCTGCTAGTTATCTTAAGTGGGGCCTTCTGTGCACCACGTTAGGGAAGACCAGAACAAACCCTCCCACATTTCGGTCGGGATGTACATTAACCTGCATGGGGCCTGGAACATGCAGCTGCCAGGGAGGCCATTGCAAGGTCATGACCAAAAGGGAGGACAAAAGATGGAGTCAGTGTTGTCAGAACTCCTACATTTATGCTCAATTTTATGAGTCACTTATGAACATTAGAAACATTATCAAACATTAGAAACATTAGACGTTCCTTATACACGATTGAAGTTAGAGCTTTATCCTTGTTATCAGTTGCAAATATACTTCCCATTTTTGCAGTTGTATATATAAAATTTTGTCTGTAATATTTAAACACATTTTATTCAAGTGTAACTAATGTACAATAAACAGCACATGTATATGATTTAATATGTCTTGCATGTGTACACTCCTGAAAAGTATAACCAAAATCGGTATAATGAGCATATCAATCATCCTCAATAGTTTCCTCATGCCCTTTGTTAATCTTCTTGCATTCATCACAAATATGGAGAGATTTTTTGATGTTGTTTAATTTATCATTAGTTTTTTTCCCCCTCATTGCTAAGTAGTGAATAGGTATACCAGAATTTGTCCATTTGTGGACAAATTGATGATGAACATTCAGTTTATTTTATTTTATTCTATTTATTTTATTTTATGCAGCTGTAAACACTTTTGTTTTTTTTTAAATTTAAAATTGATAGTCTCTTGCCTCTTTGTTTTGAGAGTTGGAAGAACCTGTTTCCCCGTGTTCTTAAGTATTCTAGCCAACTAATCGAATGTCCCAAATGTTGCCTTATCCTTATACAGAGAACAAGGATTAAGGGAAAACTATGTTCTCCCCTGGAAGAGACTTGGAGCGAAATATATTCTTATTTTTTAAGTAAATATGCCTATGTTCCTTGTTAAGCTATAAAAATTTCAGACTTATCACTATTTTTTGGATTTCAGAATAGAATCATATTTCATATATTTATTTTGATCTGACTTTGGTCTTTAGCAATCTTTAGAAATTTCTCATCAATATGGGGGAGAGAGCAGAATAGTTCATCCTTGGGATTAACTTAATATTAAATGTCCTAGTGAAACCAGTAGGGTGAGTCTTGAGATAAACTTAGTAAGCAGGCACTAGTCACAAACTTAAGACCAATAAAATTTAACGCTAGGAGTTCATTAATAGCTTAACAAATGAAATGGAAGACAGAATGTGCATATATACAAATCATGTCACTATGTTACCTTTAAAGTATAATTTCTCTGAAATAACTGTAGGCATATTCTCATAGTGGATATGAGATACCTTTAACAAATCTAGAAGAGCTGGACTATTGGATCTGATTTTATGTAGTCATGGCAATGGACATAGGTTCCTGCTCACCCACTGAAATTTAAAGGACACCTTCTAGCTTTAGGGTTAATGGTAAAGTATTTAACTGTCACATCCACATTATTTTTACATCCTTTAAAATAATTTTAAGCAGCAGACTGCTGTAATTGTTCTGAACCAAAGCCAACTGTAAAAGACAACCAGGAGAGATGAAGATTTTTAAAAGGTGAGGCAACATGACCATACCCTTCATGCCTTATTACTTACATTGACATGACCCGCTGCAGTGGGGAAAAAATAGCACCTGAACTACCTCCAAATCTTTTCAAAACAGATTCATTTAAGGTTTTTTTAAAAATAAATTCAAATTATTTTCAGTATTGCCTCATCCCTTGTCCAAAGCACAAGACATTTCATCAGAATTCTCTCAAAAATTGAGTTGGGATCTTTGTTTTCATTATCATTTACCTCTGTTCATGTATTTTTCTAATTGTATTTGATTATCCTAAGGAGAGGGTCAGTCATGCTATTCAGGGAGGCAAGAACAGTGCGTGCACAATTCAACCTTAGATGGCCTCTGCATATTTGACAAATTCTGACTGCCTTCTGTTATATTTTCATTTTCTAATCACAAAAAATAAAACTTGGCAGAATTCCACTGGCATCCTATGTGTGTGTGTTTGTGTGTGTTTCCATACATTCTTTTGACAGCACTTTTTTTTTTTCTAAAAGCATCACATTCAACAATTTATTTCTATGAAATAACCCTGGTAAAATTTCCTACAAGCTATCAAATAGATTTTCCTTTTGAATGTGCACTCTGATCAAAATTAATTTCTCAACTCTAATGGTGAGCAGTAATTAAAAAAGCAAACTTGGCTGAATGCACAATGTTAGCAAAGAAGCATTTAAATACTGAAATTAATATATTTGATTTTATCAGTTAATCATGTATTAGGTGTTACTCTGCCAAAAAACTTCCTGTAATTTTTTTTTTCCTCATTGGCAAGACAATCAGGTACAGAATGTCTTGGAGTTTAGATTTCTTACAATTCTAATTGCCACCACCAATTCTCTCTTGAGGCTATGGAAAGAAAGGAAAGAGACTACAAATTTACGTTACTCCAAATCACAGATAATCTTTAAAATATGTAAACTATATATGTGAACATAAATATTGAATAATTCATTATTAATTACATTCAAGTAAATAATAATTTTATTCAATGTCTACATTCATTCTTTAGATCTACTGCATTTCTTTTTTGGAATGGATTCTCATTTAATTGGGCAAATGGTATTATAGTTTCTTTTATTAATCACCAATTTAGTAACCAAGAAAATATTATTATTATTACTAATTTCTAAAATGTAACAAGATAATCATTTCATACATTCAGTCACATATATTCATTTTGGGTATGAAACTACTTTCTAGAGGAGGGAGGAATGATTAATGTGATTTTTTTTATGATTAATGTGATTTTAAAAGCTGTAATAATGATTACAACTTAAGTCTGATCTTTAAACAAATTATTATAATAAACATAAATGGAAAGTTGTTTCTTGTTATAATATTGGATTCATTACGAAATGTATATTTCACTTTTTCTTTCCTTAAAAATAAAACATTTTAGAGCACTGTGTACCTTGTTTTTGTTATATTACTATACTTTTCCTCGTCCATTCCTATCCTAATATTAGCATCTAAAACAGTCTTATAAGAGACATTGACTATTCAGTGAATATACAAGAAGCCACTGAGAGAGAATAGAATTCACTAAAATTCACAAGGTAGCAGAGATTAAGTAGACAGAGAATCAAATTGAATGAATGAGAAAAAAAATATATATATATAATTGTATTTGTTTCAATAGCTTGCTTACAAATCATGACTATATAGTATGTCACAAAGAGCTTAAAAATATAATTTTTATTATTCTTGAATTTCTAAATGCACACACACACTCATATACAAACCACACTAAGTGCAAGACAAGTTGGAAAATATATTAACTAACACAACCATGAAGTAGTAATAATTTAACAACAGAAGGAAACAATGAATTACAATAAACAATATCTGAAAAACAGTACCTAACAAAGTAATTAAATAGAAGGTTTCAAAAGAGGGACAGGAGTAAATAAAATGTAATCAATCTAATATAAAGCAGCCAAGGGAATAAATAAAAGAAAACAAAGAAAATAAAACAAAAATTAAGATGGTAGACTTAATCCCCCAGTTGTAATATCACTAAAGTAATAAAAGTTGGTTATATTCCTTTAAAAGACAGAAATTCCACTGTGGCTAAAACAAAAAAGCTTTGTGCTATGTATAAGATACTTATAAAAACATATGAATGCAATTAAGTCAACAGTAAGTAGTTAAAAAGACAGAGAAACATATACAAAGCAAATTAAAACCTGGAATAACAATTGCTACATGAGACCAAAATTCATAAGGATATACAGTTTTGAAGAACAAAATGAACCATCATGATTTATGTTTTACATGTATACATACAACAAATGTAGGATACACATTACTTCCAAACACATTTACAAAAATTATCTATGAAATCATTAAACAAGTATAAGCAAATACAAAATAATTATGACAAAGATGATATTTTGTCCAAAGCAAACAAGACAATATGATTAAAATATATAGATATTTTTTAAAAATCTCCAACATGTGAAAATTAAAAAAAAAAAAACTGATTTAAAATAGTTCATCAGTAGATGTTATCAGAACTGATATTACAAAATATTTAAAATTATATTAATGGCAGCAAATATACTAATATCAAAATTTGTCAGATGGAAAAACAATAGTACATAAATATTAATGTCTTGCTTTAAATGCATTCATATGTACCAAAAGAAGATTGAAAAGTGATGGCCTAGATATTCAAGCTGCTAACAAATAAAACTTCAGAATAAAGTCAAAGCAAATCAAAAGTAATAAATATTACACACCAATTCAGAAATTTATATTGTAGGAAACAAATAGTGGATTCACTAAAGAAGAGGAAGGAAGAAAAAGGAGGAGGAGGAGGTGGGGGGAAGGGCAAGAGGAAGGAGGGAAAGAGGAAGAAGAAGAAGACAAAGATGAACAAGGAGAAGAAGAAGAACAACAACAACAACAACTGACAAAATAAACATCTCTGGAAAAATTAATCAAGGAAAAAGAGGAAGTATAAGTAATTACATAGGCCATGGTATAATTGCTTAACAACACACATAGGGTAAAGAAATTAAAAATCAATAAAGGCTATTATAGGAATCTTTTTTTTTTTTTTGTATAGGAATCTTTATATCCAATATATTTGAAAACAAATGGACAATTTTCTAGAAAATCATAAATGACAAGCATTTAAAAAAAATGTATGTAACTGAATATACCTAATGGCATTAAATAATATAAGCACTTATTAAAACCACTTACACACACACATACATGTGTACACACACACTCACCTATGAAGTTATGCTCACTACTTTAATAACTGAACTAAGAGAAAATTCCTGTATTATATTAATTTTTCTAGGAAAGGAGAGAGAAATAGATTTTAAAAATTTGATAGCAAATCTGATCTAGGATATGCTATTCCCACTTACAAACATAAATGTAGAAAAATTAAATGAATGTTAAAGGAAAAAAATATTCTGACACTTGTTAAAATGCTGAGGAAGACTTTATTCAGGACTTTTGAGAAATATGAGAAGCCTATTACAGTAGGGGAGAGAGATAAGGCTCAATTCTGACTCACCTCTGACCACAATAGGACAAAGTAAGGGTTTATAGCCAAGAAGCATGTCAGGGGTGTCTGGGGGCTTTGGGTGGGGGGCAGGGTTTGGTGAGTAGGAAATTACTAAGAGGAGATATGGAGACATCAGAGGAAGGAGGAATTCTTGGTAGACTGACCAAACATGATTCTTCCTGAGGGCAGACCAGTGTGATCAGTATCAAGGGTAGGGAATGAGGAATTTAATTAGATATTGAGAGTGACCATCTATCAAGGGTAGGAGGACTCTCTCTAAACTGACTTTAAAAGGACGGACAGTGAAGCCTAAGATGGAGGCCTAGCTGAGAAAAGGGCTCAGAGGAGACTGGGCTGAACCTTGGTCAAGAAGGGAGTCTTTATCAGTAGTCATTGTTTAGAAAGATAAATACGCTTAGAGACAGAATTTGAATAAGAATCAACATCTTATTCTTAAGAAATTTAGAAGAAAGTTTTTAACCTTATTAACATTATGAAAATATAACAGAAAGTAAAATGATAAAAATTCAAATGGTTTCTTTATTTAAAGCTAAAATTGTGTCAAGGACCCTTATTAACATTCTTTCCTTGGGACATTCTACTGACATGCTAACCGGTTGAGTAAATGGAAATGGAGCAAATAAGAGAAGACTTCAAATAAAAATAAGCAGTCTTTTGTAATTAATAAAGGAGGTAATTACCTGAATAGAAAAATTTTAAAATATCCATAAATTACCTAATAAGTTTGTTTAGCAAGTTTCCAAATACTAGATTAATGTATCACAGGCAGCATGAAAAGAATGCTGTTTATCTTCTTCACACTATTGTTTAAGATCACCCAGATGAGCTGCATATGAACAGACACATTTTTAAAATAATTATTTGCTTAAATGTAAATATAAAGAAAAAATAGAAAAATTTTATATATACTCTTTCTATATGTCCCTAAAATTATTGAAAATAAACATATTTTTAAGAACTATATAATTTATAAAATTATAATTATGAGAACTACTGTCTTTTAATGTTGGGGAAATAATTTTGTTTTATAATAAAATGTCTATCTAAATCTATAATAACAAAGCAAATTGTTTTCATGTAAATTGATGTAAATATGAATGTCGATTAAAAGTAAACTCTGCACCAATAAAATGTTGATATTGTCTTTAACATAACCCTTAATGTAATCATAACCACCATTCCCTTAATGTACATTCAAAGCACAAGTCCCCAGATTTAAATAAATTGAGTTCATTTTGCTTAATGTGTCCTAAGTGTGATGTAAGTCATTAACAAGTTGAGATCAAACATCAAATTATGTGCTTGACAGCAAATCTCTGCTGGCAAGAACAAAGTTTAGAAGCTTAAACATGTGTGGAATTGAAAAGATAAGAGTTTTTCCCTGCAGATACATCTTTCAGGATGAATAAAAATATTCCAATAATTTGCTAGAAATATATTGCTATAGCTTTAAGCAAATAGTCCAAAACTGCCTACATTTAGATATGCCAAAACCTTCCAGGTAGCATAAATTATTATTTAAATATTATAAATATAGAAGACATGCACTCTGCACTTGTGTGCATATATGAATGCCCACTCACATACAAATATATTTAAATACACATATATGTATACACGTGTGTGTGTGTCTACATGTGTGTATAAATGAAATTTAAGTGGAAGGACTTAATGTAAGTATACATTAACTCCTTCTATAGTTCATTCTCAAAGGAAATTTTTCTGAGTTTTTCAGGGAGGAAAATGATAGGTAGGTACATTCTCAAAGACTCAACAATCTTTTACCTATTACAGTAAGATTCATCCTGATGCCACTCTGTGCTTCAAAGAGCTGAACTTGGTATCTGATTGACGTATATACCCCGTTTTAGCAAAATGATGTAATCAACAGTAAATTTTTAAAAGAAAGAAAGAAAGATGGTCAAGACTTACTAAAGAAAAGAGAAATACACCCCACAGAATGACTGGCAGATCAAAGACAAACAAACAAACAAACAAACAAACAAACAAACACAGAATAGCCACAGGCAACGCTTTGGTTATTTATTAGTCCCTTCTTGACTGGGGGGAAAGATGGCGGAGGAGTAGGGGACCCTATTTCAACTGGTCCCCGGAATTGAGCTGGATATCTACCAGACCACTCTGAGCACCCACCGAACCAGCCTGAGATGTAAGAAGATCTGGATCTCTACAAACATAATATTGCAGGCGGTTGGTTTCAAGGTACGAAGTGGGGGAGCCGTGATTCTGTGGGCAGATATCAGAGGATAAATGGCAGTGGGAGGGTGCCTGGCCATGGGGATCCTACACCGCCGGTGAGCGACAGCCTCCTGGGCTGGGGACAGGGCATAGACTCGCAGACTGGTAGCGGCGGGGAAAGGACTTTAGGGCAGCCCCCAGGGCAGAAACCCGGAGTGCGGGGTCGGGCATGGGCAAACTGGGAGTGGCTGGTGGTTTTAGAAGCACAAAGGGCAGAAACATGCCCCAAACTGGAGGAAGGACTGGGGGCACTTTGGAGGGGTGCACAACCCAGGACGCTGCAGTTTATAGCAGCACAGACAGAAACGGAGACGGTGTGGCCTGGAGAGCTCACTGAACAGACTGCAGTCTCTCTACTGAGGCAGAGGGTTGGAAACGGTCTCTTCTGCTCTGACTCACCGAAGAGAGGAGGAAAGCCGCCAGGGAAAGCCGCCAGAGAACAAAAGCACCAACGACTGATTCCCGCTAAGCCCATCCCCCGCCACAGGAGGGCAGGGCAACTCCAACAGAACAGGGTTGCCTGAGTAACAGCGCGGCAGGCCCCTCCCGCAGAAGAGAGGCTGGGAAAACAAGAGGCCAGCAACCCTAAGGTCCCAAGAAAACAGGTGCATCTTGCTTGGGTTCTGGTCAATAATTTGGACTCTATACATTCCCTCAAACACCCATCAACAGAACGACTAGGAGGAGGAACCCCCAAAATAGAAAAGACTCAGAGATTATGACTTATGCTGCAGATTTACAAATGGATGCAGATATAACCAAGATGTCAGAGATGGAATTAGGGTAGCAATTGTGAAGACAATGGCTAGAATCGAGAAATCAATTAATGGCAACATAGAGTCTCTAAGGGCAGAAATGAAAGCTGGATTGGCAGAATTTAAAAATGCTGTCAATGAGATCCAATCCAATCTAGATAATCAAACAGCTAGGGTAACTGAGGCAGAAGAGAAAATAAGCGACCTGGAAGACAATATAATAGATAAAAAAGGAAAAGAGGAGGCCAGGGAAAAACAACTCAGAATCCATGAAAATAGAATCAGAGAAATAAGTGACACCATGAAGCATTCCAATGTCAGAATAATTGGAATCCCAGAGGGAGTGGAGAGAGAGAGAGAACTAGAAGATGTATTTGAGCAAATCGTAGCTGAGAATTTCCCTAATCTGGGGAATGAAACAAACATTCGCATCCTAGAGGCAGAGAGGACCCTTCCCAAGATCAAGGAAAACAGGCCAACACCCCAGCATGTAATAGTAAAACTTGCAAATCTTAGAACCAAGGAAACCATCTTAAAGGCAGTTAGGGAGAAGAGATTCCTTACGTACAGAGGGAGGAACATCAGAATAACGTCAGACCTATCCACAGAGACCTGGCAAGCCAGAAAGGCCTGGCAAGACATATTCAGCATACTAAATGAGAAGAACATGCAGCCAAGAATACTTTATCTGGCAAGGCTTTCATTTAGAATGGATGGAGAGATGCAGAGCTTCCATGACCGGCAGAAACTGAAAGAATATGTGACCACTAAGCCAGCCCTGCAAGAAATATTGAGGGGGGTTCTATAAAAGGAGAAAGACCCCAAGAGTGATATACAACAGAAATATATAGGGACAATCTATAAAAACAACGTCTTCACAGGCAACATGATGACAATTAATTCATATCTTTCAATAATCACTCTCAACGTGAATGGCCTGAACACTCCCATAAAATGGCACAAGGTTGCAGATTGGATAAAAAGACAGGACCCGTCCATATGCTGTCTACAAGAGACTCATTTTGAACCTAAAGATACATCCAGACTGAAAGTGAAGGGATGGAGATCCATCTTCCATGCCAGCAGACCTCAAAAGAAAGCTGGGGTAGCAATTCTTATATCAGACAAATCAGATTTTAAACTAAAGTCTGTAATTAGAGACACAGAAGGACACTGTATCATTCTTAAAGGGTCTATCCAACAAGAAGATCTAACAATTGTAAATATCTATGCCCCCAACATGGGAGCAGCCATCTACATAAGCCAACTGTTAACCACAATAAAGAGTCATATTGATAACAATACGTTAATTGTAGGAGACCTCAATACTCCACTATCAGCAATGGACAGATCATCTAAGCA